CCGGCCCCGGCCTCGGCCATGCCTCCCTGACCGCTCCCGCTTACATTGAAAAACATGCTTGCAATCATGTTGAAACACAGACGTACACAATAGATAGAGGCACATACCGGGTCTTGCTATTTTTTTTTCTCTTTAAATACGCTGCTTTTTCGAGGTAGTTTTAGCGCTGTTAAGAATCTTTGCGTACCAGCTCTTAGCGTGTCTGTGCTTTGTTTTGTGCTTGATCCATTTTTAGCGTGTTTGCCAAGGCTTATTTTAAAAGGTGTTTCTGTGCTTTCCAAAATACATCTAATTCCTTTGGGATGGGTGTGTGTGCGTATATATTTAATAAACCGTGAAAGATATTACTCTTAGCGAGTTGTTCAAAACGACTGACTCTGTAACAATTCATCATTCCAACCGAAATGGAACGCTTATTAATTGCCAATTACTATATTTATTATCTCGAGTGAGCACAGACTGCAACACAGTATAAACAATAACATAAGCAACAGTACAAATAAAAGCAATGCAAAGATACGTATATTCCTTTTACTCACACATGTTCCTTATTCACTTCTCATCTTTTTCTTCAGAAATCTCCTTTAAAAAAAAAGAAAGAAAGAAAAAGAAAGAAAAGGAAGGGAGAAAAATAATTCTTTCGCATGCCTTTGCGCGCTGCTTAAGTTTATTTCAAACTTTAAGACCCAAGATTTCTTCGGCACTTGGTAGCTCGCTTCTGCATTACAAATTCGACGAAGTTTTCCCAAAAGGAAAATTGTAAATTTCTGTCTCCGAAGGGGGAAGAGAAAATAAAAAACCTACCCAGCCCGGGGCTCTATTTTCCCGTCCCCTCTATTTCTTTATAAACCTGAAGCTACTTGAGCGAAATGAGTGAAGCCACGAAGGCTGGACTGAGTGATTTTAACTCTCTGCTCAGGAGGCTAATTTTGGGGAAATAGTTACCTCGGAAACCTTTTTGGGGGAAGGGAAGTTGCAGCTTTGCAGCGCATGCTGTTCCCTTTCAAGCCTCGTCCGTCTCCCGCATAAAAAGTTGCTTTTAGTCTTCCTCTGCTTTTTTTTTTTTTGTGTGTGTGGTTCTAATGGCAAAATCTGAGTAATTTGATAATAATAATTTGTTAAGCTATATGTACAATCAACCACAAACGATCCCGATTTAGAAACAATCCCATAGGAGGAGGAGGAGGAAGCACATTCCTGAGTATGTGTGTAAAAAAATTTAAAATAACTCCAACATTGCTTTTAATTTGGGAGTGGAGATCACCTGATTTGCATTTACCTTCTCGTAAATTACTTGAGACGAGAGTCAAGTCTAACGCACATGCGAACCGATAACTATATCGATTTTGTTAAAGAAGAAATCAATGGCAGGATTTTTTTTTCCCCTTTATAACACACATGTGCGCGCACACACACCCCACAAACTAATGGCCTCGCTAAGAAAAGAAAATGCCACATTCTCCAGATCTGGCTGTATTAAAACAGCACATTTCACCCTCGGTTTCCACAGGCAGAGTTTCCTGTGAGTAAAGGTCTGCCGTCCAACACAAACACGAAATTCCTCTTTGTTTGGGCAAAGGGGAGGGGGAATAGTTTGCATCGCAATGGACGGAAAGTGGCCGGTTAGTGGATACTGCAGCTTGTTGCTGCAAACGGCATGTGTGTCGGTGTGGGTTGCTGCAAGAGACCACAAAAAGTCCTGTTTGCACCAAGTGGGTCAGCCAGACTGGAGTTTCCCTTTGCAAATAAGAAGGGAGATCCTTGATATTTTTGTTTCCACATAAAGCTGGAGCCATTTTACCTATATGCTGAACGTTGCGCTATGCCAGACCGGAGGAGGAGAGCGCGGGGTGGGGAGAAAGCTGGCATATAATATCCCTGTCCGATGTGGCTAATGCAGCTCCAGGGTTTATGAGGGGCCTTGTAAAGAAAATGCAAGTTCAAGCAACACAATAAACTGTTTCTGGTCGCTTGTAGGGCTTTATATAGGACATAGAGACCCCTGATCGCAAGCCAGAAAGAAACAGGGCTCAGAAGCCATGCACAAGCAAACGTACAGATATGTCATATCGCAGGGGATCTCTGTCAATTGGAACACAAAGAGACAATGTTTTGGCTGTGAATAAAGTACAATATAGAATATGTGTGTGTGTGCATTGATGTCTCCATACAGACACGACAGCTCTACGTAGGACAGGCGGATACTTTGCAAATACATACATATAGGCTGAGGGCAGGGTATTCACAGCCAGGGTGCTGGTTTATAGGCAAACGCATTTTGGTAGCGCTATAACTATTCTGTGTTTCTGCTCCAAGTGTCCTTGCTAATAATGCTGTGGGTCACTTGCTATATGCATAATGCTGAGCATGTTCCCCCTTGCTGTATCACCTTCAGCATTGAATTATAAATTCATAGACGAGCTGACAATTATTAGGCGGACGATGGCTTCTGTGCTTACCTGTGTTTATTGTTAGGCTCATTGCAGGCCTGATAGCGAAAGGGCCACGACCTGGGTTGCTCGTTCTGCCCCATGCAACAGTTTGGGCCTTGCCCGGGGAGGGCAGAGAAGGGGCCGAGGCCAGGGGCTGCGTTGCTGCCGCCAAGTCACACCGACCCTGAGTGGCGTAGTGAGGGGATGTTGCATCTGAGCCCAGGATCCTGCTGCCGGGGGCGGCCGAGGGTCTCCCCCGCCAGGCCCCAGTGCGGCAGGGGAGAGGAGAGCAACCCGCGGGGTCTGCCATGGTGATCTCGATCCGGGAGGCAGCCCTGGCAGATTTCTCCCTTATACCTGTCACCGTTGGCCGTTTCCGCAGGAAGCAATAAAAGTTATCAGGTTATTGGGAAATCCCCATCTCCAGGGGATTCTGGAGGCGCTGGGTCCGTTGCAAGGACACCCCCCTCCCTTACCCCATCCCTCTCGCCTTGCTGGGGAGATGGAGGAAAGGGGGAGGTGGGCAGTACATCGGGAAAATAAAGGGGGGGGGGGGCTCCTCAGGTTAGCACACGTTTAAGGGATTCAGTTTGCTCTGGTGGATGAACGCACAGGCACTTCCCGTAGCGCTGGGGGAGGAAGGTCCGACCGGCGAAAAGAAGGTTTGGGTTTAGGCGAGGTGCATTTGACACGGAAGTGCAAGCGCGCAC